GCCAACGCTCTATCCACTGAGCCAAACTGGTTTTGGCTGTCGTTCATAATTTTTATCTTTACCTTTTTCTTCTTCCTCTTCTTAAAGAATACCCTTCAGCATTTTTAAAAAAATATATTTTATTGATTTTTTACAGAGAGGAGGAAAGAGGGATAGAGAGCTAGAAATGTCGATGAGAGAGAAACATCAACCAGCTGCCTCCTGCACACCCCCCACTGGGGATATGCCCACAACCAATGTACATGCCCTTAACCGGAATCGAACCCGGGACCCCTCAGTCCGCAGACCAACGCTCTATCCACTGAGCCAAACCGCCCCGGCACCCTTCAGCATTTTATGTAATCCTGGTTTGGTGGTGATGAACTCCTTTAGCTTTATCTTATCTGTGAAGTTCTTTATCTCACCTTCAATTCTGAATGATAGCTTTGCTGAATAGAGTAATCTTGGTTGTAGCTCTTGCTGTCACTTGGAATATTTCTTGCCACTCCCATCTGGCCTGCATAGTTTCTGTTGAGAAATCAGCTGACAGTTGTATAGGTACTCCTTTGTAGGTAGCTAACTGTTTTTCTCTTGCTGCTTTTAATATTGTCTCTTTGTCTTTTGCCCTTGGCATTTTAATTATGATGTGTCTTGGTGTGGTCCTCTTTGGATTCCTCTTGTTTGGGGTTCTGTGCGCTCCCTGTAAGTTTTCTTTCACCAGGTGGGGAAAGTTTTATTTATTCTAATAGCTTTTCAATATTTTGCTTTCTCTCTTCTTCTGGTACCCTTAAAATTCAGATGTTAGTATGCTTAAAGCCGTCCCAGAGGCCCTTACATTATCTTCATATTTTTGGATCCTTTTTTCTTTTTTTTCTGGTTGGGTGTTTTTTGTTTCTTCATATTTCAGATCTTTGGTTTGATTCTTGGGGTATGTTGATCTACAGTTGAGTTTATGTATATTCTTTATTTCAGACAGTGTATGCCTAATTTCTGACTAGTCCTTTTTTTTTTTTTTTTTTTTTTGGCATTCTCATTAAGGTCTTTGAAGGTCTCATCAGGTTTCTCAGCGGTTTTTTAGAAGATTCTTGAGTAGCCGGGACCGGTTTGGCTCAATGGATAGAGCGTCGGCTTGGGGACTGAAGGGTCCCGAGTTCGATTCCAGTCAAGGGCATGCACCTTGGTTGCGGGCATATCCCCAGCAGGGGGTGTGCAAGAGGCAGCTGATCGATGACTCTCTCTCATCGATGTTTCTAACTCACTATCTCTCTCCCTTCCTCTCTGTATAAAATCAATAAAATATATTTAAAAAAAAAAAAAAAAAAAAAAAAAAAGAAGAAGATTCTTGAGTAACCTTATAAACGTGATTTTGAACTCTGTGTTGTACCATAGTTTGTTTTCCTTCATTTCTTTCATTCATGACATGTTTCTATGTCTCCGCATTTTGGCTGCTTCCATGTGTTGATGGAGTGGCTTTGTGTGGTAGGTGACCTATAGGGGCCAGTAGCTCAGCTTCCCCAATCACCTGAGGTGGACGGTCTTGGTACACCCCTTTGTGGGCTCAGTGCAAAGTCTTGGTGTATTTAAACCTTGATTGCTGTTGGTACCCTGGGAGGAATTGTCCTCCAGGACAATTGGCTGTGGGGACCCGCTGTGTTTATAGTGGAAGAACTGCTATGCTGGAGACACACTTATGGTGTAGGCCTTGTTTCAGTGGGGCTTTGGTGCTTACTGAGCCTGCCTCTTGAATGTGTCACTTATGGATGTGAGGAGTTGAAATCTGTGTCACACTGACCACTGGGTACACTGGCTTCTGGATCTCCAATGGGGTGCAGGTCAGCTACTGTCTGAAATCACCTTGCAGGAGCTACAGCGAGAACTATAGTTCTCTCCTTCCTGTTTGGGATTTGTAGATTTATGGAGCTGTCTGAACCGGTTTGCAAATTTGCTAGGTTAAGCAGCGATAGTGAAGGCCATTCATATGCAAAACCTGCTGCTTGGGGCTTGGGTGAGTTTGTAGGTTGTGCGGGGTGGGATCTCAGGACGGCCCTAGGGTAGGGCGTGACAAACAGCGATGGCTGGCAGCCCGTTGTCCTGTGCCTCCAACTGCATCTCCACGTCTTATGCCCCAGCACAGCAAACAATTATTCCTCCGCGCAACTCTGCAAGCAAGCCACCCTCACTTTCCAACCCGATGGCAGACAGTCCAGCTTCTCCCATAGGAGTTTGGTTCCCGCGCGTTTCCCCTCCCGGTTGAAGAAAGCAGCACCCGCCATCCGCCATCGCGAGCGCCCCCATACCTCAGCTTCTCAGCGTTTGTGCACTGAATGCTCTTCTCTTTCCATCTAGTTGTAGATCTTCCACTTAGCCAGCCCTCCCCTGGCCCTGGGTGATAGACATTTTGTCTTTTATTTGTAGTTTTTAAATTGTTGTGCACGACCGCAGTTTAGATGTTTGCCGTCATCTTGGCTTCTCCCAGTCTACTTTTCTTTCTTTTTTATTTTTACTTTTTATTTTATTCTATTTATTTATCTATTTATTTTAAAAAAATATATTTTATTGATTTTTTACAGAGAGGAAAGGAAAGGAATAGATAGTTAGAAACATCGATGAGAGAGAATCATCGATCAGTTGTCTCTTGCACATTCACTACTGGGGATGTGCCCACAACCAAGGTACATGCCCTTGACTGGAATCAAACCTTTCAGTCAGCAGGCTGACGCTCTATCCACTGAGCCAAACAAGTTTCGGCTAGTCTACTTTTCTTAATCAAGATTATTATGGGCCCTAGCCAGTTTGGCTCTTATGATAGAGTGTTGGCCTGTGAACTGAAGGGTACCCAGTTCAATTCTTCGATTCTGGTCAAGGACACATGCCTGGGTTGTGGGCTCAGTACCCAGTAGGGGGAGTACAGGAGGGAGCCAATCAATGATTCTCTTTCATCATTGATGTTTCTCCTTCTCCCTCTCTGAAATAAACAAAATAATGTATTTTTTAAAAAGATTATTATGAATATTATTAACATAACTACATAAATCACAAAAACCTAACTTGTTTTCTGAAGTCTCTTTTTCCCCCATATATATATATATATATATATATTTTTTTTTTTTTTTATTTTTTTTTTAATATATTTTATTGATTTTTCACAAAGAGGAAGAGAAAGGGATAGAGAGTTAGAAACATCGATGAGAGAGAATCATCGATCAGCTGCCTCTTCTTGCACACCCCCTACTGGGGATGCACCCGCAACCAAGGTACATGCCCTTGACCGGAATCGAATCCGGGACCTTTCAGTCCCCAGGCCGACGCTCTATCCACTGAGCCAAACCGGTCCCGGCGTCCCCCCAATATATTTTTATTGGTTTCAGAGAAAAAGGGAGTGGGAGAGAGAGATAGAAACATTGATGAAAGAGAATCATGGACTGGCTGCCTCCTGCACACCCCCAAATGGAAATCGAGCCTGCAGCTTGGGCATGTGCCCTTGACTGGAATTGAACCAAGGACCCTTCCATGTTCACACTCTTGTCTTCTGAGCCCAACTGGTTAGGGCTGCTTGAAGTCTTTTAATAAATAGTTTACAAGCTTTGTCAGAGATAAATTTGTCATTTGGTGAACATGGTGTCTACATCTTATGGTGATTTAGTGACAGAAGAGAAGTAATGTCACACTCCAGGCCCAGCAGCTTCTGTATCAGTTGTGCTTTTGTTTTGCTTTTTAGGTATTCCAAATGCTGCTAGAGTTCTTGAAGCAAAATATTACCAAGGTTTGGGAAATGCTTTCTTAACAAAATATTGCTACCCCGCAATAGTTATATCTTTTCTCCAGTCTGGTGCTTTTGAATTAATATGCCAACCACATTTGTTCCTTTACAAGTCTGTTTATTAACATCATGCATATAATTATCAAACCTGTGTTCTCTGGCACGTCACTATAAAAAATTTTGCTCCTTGAGGAAAAGTCCCTGCCTTACACTTTTTTGTATATTTTATACTGTAGTCTCCTTATTAACTACTTTGTGCTAACATAACTACATGCTGAGCTGTGTGTGTGTGTGTGTGTGTGTGTGTGTGTGTGTGTGTGTGTGAGAGAGAGAGAGAGAGAGAGAGAGAGAGAGAGAGAGAGAGAGAGAGAGAGAGAATTGGTTTTACAAGAAACAAGAGTAGAACTTTTGATCGTTTAATTCCCATTCATAAGGAGAAATCAGAATGATTTCCAAATTTGAAGAAAGTTGGAACATTTCATGGTTGGGTAGATATTAAAATTTTTAGTATATTTTCCCACCACTAAGCAAAAAGGATATGGTAAAATTTTTGCATCCAGAGGTTGAATACTAGGACAGCCTACTTACTATCTGAACTCTTCTATATATAAGGACATAGAAAAGCTATACATGCCATTTACATTTGCAATGGAGAAAGTGCTAATTGTCCACTTAATGTTCTTTTTCTGTAAAAAGACTTACCAGAAAACTTTGATTCCATATTTCCTGGATTACTAGTAAATGTTTACCAAAAATCTACATTTCATTCTAAAGTTTAAAGTGCCAGTAGAGACTAGTGCAACTAGTGGCAAAAATGTTGAAGGTACACAAATCCTAATCATGGATAAGTTTACCATGCCTAAGCAGAGATACTGCCTGGTAAATGCATTAGAATCAAAGCTGTCCAACTTCATGGACCAAAATATACAATTAAAATATGTGAGCACATATATGGAAAAATGTAATTTCCATAAGGACATTTTGCTTTTAGCACAATTTACCAAGCAATGTTTGATAGCTTTCTACTGCCATCTACTGGTGTGAGGTAATATATAGAAATAAAAGGGAATTAGTTCTGTTGAATACTTAAAATATTCTTTTCTGAGGATAATACAATTTCCTTATGGTTCATACAGTATTTACTTTGTAGTATGCTTTTAGTGAACAGACTCTGTAAATCTTTCTCCACTATTACAATGTGCAATTTTTCTGTTTTAAATTTCTGATCAAATTTTTCCCCCCCTTTGTCATCCCTTCTTAGTTTAATGGATCGAGAAGTGGCATTGCTGGCTGAAATGGACAAAGTGAAAGCTGAAGCAAGTAAGACTGATCTTTAATTAAAGCCATTACAAGTTAGTAGGTCCTTCTCAACTCCTATAGCTAAAGCTCAATAAATGTAAAAAAAAAAAAAAAAGTTTATATATTTAATTAAAAAATCTTGAGCAGTTGTATTGCACTAGTGTATGAATTTTTTCAGGCAAAACAACTTTAAAAGAGCCTGTTTCTAAAGTATTTCCAAATGTTAATATTTTAGAGTTCAGTGTATAAGAAACTGCATCATGGTGTCTTCCACCACAACATCTATTTAGGAAAATAAAGTTTGGGGCATTACTTTGGGGCTTTTCAGCAGCAGGTTTTACTTTCATGCATCAAATGCCAAATTTATAATTAAGAAAGTTGATTCTTGCCCTGGCCAGTTCGCTCAACTATTAGAGTTTGGGCCACGGACCAAAGGGTTATGAGTTCCATTCCTGGGCAAGGGCATGTATGTACTTCGGTTGCAGGCTCCCTAACCCCGGTAGGGGCACATGCAGGAAGCACCAGTCAGTGTGTCTCTCACATTGCTGTTTCTCTCTTTCTGTCTCTCTCCTCCCTCCCTTCCACTCTCTCTAGAAAACAATGGAAAAATATCCTCTGGTGAGAATAAAAAGTAAATAAAATAAAAATAATGTTTTTGATGTTTGTTTTTTTCAATATATTTTTATTGATTTCGGAGAGGGTGTGAGTGTTAGAAACTATCAATAATGAGAGAGAATCATTGATCAGCTGGGAATTGAGCCCAAAACCCAGGCATGTGTCCTGACCAGGAATCAGATGGTGACCTCCTGGTTCATAGGTCGATGCTCAACCACTGAGCCACGCCTGTTGGGCAAAGAATGTTTCTTTTAACCTGCTTTTAAACTGGTAAGAATGGAAATAGTTAAGATAATGACTCACAATTAAATAATTTGTGTCAATGGTCATGGCAGGAGGAGGCAACTTTGAAGCACTGAGCTGAATTTAATTTTTATCCATTTTAACCTGAAAAGTTCAAATATAGCAGAGATGTTACCCACTATTTTTCAGAGGTAAGATTTCATTTAAATTGAGTGATATATCCTGAAATTTCTAAATGTGACAGTTTTAGTCCATTCATAAACCTGTGTTCTTTTTTAAGATGACAGTTCAGATAACAAATCTAGTAAGAACACATAGTCCTTAATATTTAAAATAGAGAGGCTGATACAGTTAATCCCCACCACCCAGCTTCAACCAGTTATCAATTCATGGCCAATCTTATTTCATCAAATTCAGAACTATAGCTTTACTGAACTTGATCAATTTTATATCTTTCTCCCTTGCTAAAAATCCTGGTTCTCAGTGACACTAATGTAATTACTCATTTACCAAAACTATCAATAAGGGGCTGCTTTTTTAAAATACACTATATAGTTTTATTAATTTATATGTTCATAGTACTTTACAATTCAGAGGTGTTTTTTTTTACTAATATGCCATCTTCATGTCAACTTCATGAGATAGGGTTTCCTTTTCTTTTTTCCATTTCATAAATGAAAAAAACTAATTATTTGGAAAAATGTGACTTGTTCAGAGTCATATAATTAGGTTCTCTGAGTTAATCTGATATATGTAGAAATCTTTACCCAACACGCTTTCTCCATTTTAGAATCCTAGAATGCTGGAGCTGAGAGAAAGTGAATTTGATACAAATAGCAAGTAGGTTTTATCTTGGGAGCCAGACCAATAGATCATTTGTAGCTCTTCGTCCTTGGTGTTGGGAGGCATGTTTCTACTTTATTGGGAAAGTATGCCCTTACATTAACCTGACATGGGTATGGGCAGTCTATGGGTGGCATATATGTGGCAAGCAGGTTAAGAAAACTTGCTAAAGAGGCTCTGCTGGATTGGCTCAGTGGATGGAGCATTGGCCTGCGGACTGAAGGGTCCCAGATTCAATTGTGGTCGGGGGCATGTGCCTTGGTTGCCGGCACATCCCCAGTAGGGAATGTGCAGGAGGCAGCTGATTGATGTTTCTCTCTCATTGATGTTTCTAACTCTATCCCTCTCCCTCCCTGTCTGTAAAATAAATCAATAAAATATATATATTTTTTTAAATAAAGTGGTTCAACCTGATGTAATACCTGATGTACCTCTTTGAAAATTTTATTTCTTCTAAAATAAATTTGGTTAATTATCAATAGATTACAGGATTATGTGTATATCAGTTGGCAATTGAGTTTGATTACATGTTAACAGAGTAGCCTAAATAAATGTGAGTTTATTTTTCTCTTGTGAAATGAAAGGTGATCCAAGGCTGAAGGGAATCTCCAAAATGACATAGGAGACCCAGCCTTCTCTATTTTTCTACCCAGACATCCTTAGAGTGTTTATGGTCAAAGAGGCTCCAGTCAAGAAAGAGCAAAATGTTACATGCTGCCCAAGACTCCTTTAAAGAGCTTTCCTGTGAACCTCGCCCTGTGAGTTCTGCTTAGATCTCTCGCCAGACTGTATCATATGACTGTCTTATCTGTAGCAGAGTCAGGAAATACAGAATTTTGCCTAAATAGTTTCATACCCAACAATATTGGACTTCTGGCAGGAAGAACAGTTGAATGAATATGCAGTCATTAACAGTCTTTGCTATCTCCGTTTTTCCCCAAATGAGAATACACTCACCTCGTCAATGGCATCACCTCCAAAGTGTCATCTAGTTAGTACACTCAGCTGAAAGTTAGGACTTCTGGGGAATTTCAGATCTTTTAACAGGTCTGGATATGGCACATTGCTGTGTGGAGCCCCATAAAGTAAAACAAAAATTAAATGCCTCCTTCTCGAATATTATTCTGATAGAGAAATAATTATAGCAAGAATTATAGTAAAAGTTCCCATCTGGAAAAGCATCAAATCTTACTGGACAGGAATAGCAGCCCTGGCCTGTTGGAAGAGAAATTTCCTTGGTTTACCCAGCAGCCCTGGTTCTGATTCTAAGAGGACTTTTTTTGCCCATGCCCTCTATAGTCTCTATTCTTACTCCAAGAGGTTTTTAGTTTGTTTGTTGTCCTTCTCAGTCATATCTGAGTTACACATCTGGGAGCATGCTAAAGATGTTTCTTAACAGGCTGTAAACAACCTAAATATCCATCATTAGAAAAACTTGATAAATTATTATGGTATATCCATATATCAGACTACTAAGTGGTATTCAACAGCAAGGGAGAACCAATGTTTTAACAGGAATTGAACCTCACGATATGTTAAGTAAAAATAGCTAAGGTAGCCATAGCCGGTTTGGCTCAGTGGATAGAACTGAAGAGTCCCCGATTCAGTTCTGATCAAGGACACATGCCTGAGTTGTGAGCTTGATTCCCCGTAGGGGACATGCAGGAGGCAGCCGATCTTCATTGATGTTTTTATCTCTCTTTCCCTCTCCCTTACTTTCTGAAATCAATTTTTAAAAAATATTTTTACAAATTAGTTTTCCATGAAGTATTAAAAAAAAAAAAGTTAAGTTAATGGGAGGACCACATATAATATATGATACACTTGCATCAGTGAGGAGAAGCTAAAAGGGAGAGAGATAAATGTTATATATGCATACACTGTATTTGGAAGTATACGTAAGAAATTAACTGGTTTCCTTTGGGAAGGGGACCACAAAGTCAGAAGTAGGAGAGACACTTTAACTTTTCATTTAATGTTCTTTATTCTAGGTAAGTCTTTTTTACCATGTGTGTATATTCTGTTTTAATTTATATGATTCTTTAAAAAGTTTTTAAAATTGATTTTAGAGAAGAAGGGAGAGGAAGAGAAATGCCAGTGTGAGAACAAAACATCTAAAGGCTGCCTGTGAGTGAGCCCACAATCTGGGCATACTGAGCTATATCAGCCAGGGCGTTAATTTATGTTTCTTGATAAAATTTTTTTTAAAAATGTATTTTCATGGGAAGAGGAAAAGAGAAATGACAAATGATTTATGTGTCTTTTTTATTTAATGGAGTCTTTACCTTTTAACGGCCTTTAGAGTCCTTCAAGAAGGTGGACACTGGACCTTTGGCTCTCCAAAAACCTTCAGCAAGGCCTGTATTTCCAATTCTTTATCCTATTGAGCCAGAACATAGAGTTATACTCCTTTTTCCTCTACAGTGGAAATTTTGCTCAGCCGACAAAAGAAAGCTGAACTTCTAAAGAAGATGACCGAAGTGGCTGTTCGAATGTCAGAAGAGCAGTTGGTCGAGCTCAGAGCTGATATCAAGGTAAAACTTCCTTCTCCTTTTTGCCTTTCTTCTTGCCCTCCAGGACTAAAGTAGCAAATCTCCATAATTCATGGCCATATCTAATATAATGAATTCATGATCTTTCCTTTCAAAACCTGGCCTCATTCAGGTTCCTTTTCTCTGTAAGTGGTTCTGTCATCTATCCACTTTTCCAAGCTGGAAACTTTGGGAAATTTCTCCTTTCCAGCATGAAGTCCATCAGCAGACCCAGTCCATTTGAATTCCTACTGAATCTCAGATCTGACCTTTTCTCTTCATCTCCACCACCACTGTCATGAGCAAGTAGCTGCTGTAATAGCCTCATAACTGATTCTGTTCACACTCTCCATCCCTCCAAATCTGTTCTTCACACTGCAGTAACCTACTTCAAATTTTCCATTTCTTTTATTATTATTTGTTTTGAAACATTGATATGAGAGAGACATATCAATTGGTTGCCTCCTATACATGCTCCAACTGGGGCCTAGGATCAAACCTGTAACCCAGATACATGCCCATGACCAGGAATTGAACCCTGTGACTCTTTAGTGCAAGGGGCAAAGCTCTAACCACTGAACACATGGACCAGGGCTCCATTGCTTTAGGATAAAGACTGTAATCCTTAGCAAAGCCTGTAGGGCTCTGTGGAGTTGGCCCTGCCAGCATCATCCTTTCACACCATGCCCCCTTGTTCTCAGTTCCAGCCATATAACTTTTCCTTTCTGCAGACACATCCTGCTCCCTCCTGCTGGAGGACTACACATGCTGTCCATCTGTCCAAAATACTCTTCCCTCCCTGCCACTCCCAGCACACAGTTACTCTCAATCTACTCATCCTTCCTGGTTTTCTTCCTATTTTATGCCTTCATAGCAGTTATATTCCATGTACATTTGATTAATCTGTTATTCTCACTAGCTGGTGAACTTTACAATGGCAAAACTGCTGTCTCTTCAGTGCCTAGCATAGTATCTTGGCATATAACAGGTATTCAGTAAATAAGTAAATATTTATTTATGTACTAGTACAGTGGTCGGCAAACTGCAGCTCGCGAGCACATTCGGCTCTTTGATCCCTTAAGTGTGGCTCTTCCACAAAATATCTGTGCCATTGAAACATACAGTGCAATAGAAACTTCATGGCCCATGCACAGAAGTTGGTTTTTGGCTCTCAAAATAAATTTTAATTGTTGTATTATTGATATTTGGCTCTGTTGACTAGTAATGAGTTTGCCGACCACTATACTAGTATGTGTATATATATGTATATTTGTATTTTGTTCATCCTTACCTGAGGATATTTTTCTCATTGCTTTTTCAGAGAGGGAGGCAGGGAGGGAGGAAGAGAAGGAGTAAGAGAGAGAAACATCGATGTGAGAGACATCTATCAGTTGCCTCCTGCATGCATCCCAATAGGGGGAGGGGCAAGGAGTAAACCTGAGACCCAGGATGTGTCCTTGACTGGAAATCAAACCTGCAACCCTTTGGTGCGCAGGCTGATGCTGTAATCACTGAGTACACTGACCAGGGCTATCCTATATAATAAAGATATAATATGCAAATTAACTATCACTCCAACACATAAGATGGTTGCCCCCATGTGGACACAAGATGGCCAGCAGGGGAGGGCAGTTGTGGGTGATCAGGCTAGCAGGGGAGAGGTTAGGGGTTGATCAGGCTGGCAAGCAGAAGCAGTTAGGGGCAACCAGGCAAGCAGGCAGGCGAGCATTTGGAAGCCAGCAGTCCTGGATTGTGAGAGAGATGTCTGACTGCCCTAGAGGGGTCCCAGATTGGAGAGGATGCAGGCTGGGCTGAGGGACACACACACACAACACACACACACACACACACACACACACACACGCACCCTATGCACAAATTTCGTGCACCAGTCCTCTAGTTTTTAAATATGTTTTATTGATTTTAGAGAGAGGGGAAGAGAGGGGAAGGGAGAGGGGAAGAGAGAGAGATAGAAACATTGATGAGAGAGAAACATTAATTAGCTGCCTCCTGCATGGCCCCCACGGGGATCAAGCCCACAATATGTGTAGGTGTCCTGACTGGGACATGAACCTGTGACTTCTTGGTGCATGGATTGATGCTCAACCACTGAGTCACACCATTTGGACAATGTTTAGTAAATATTTAAATGGTTGGTCCAGCCCTGGCCAGTTTGGCTCAGTGGATAGAGTGTTGGCCTGTGAACTCAAGGGTCCCAGATTAGATTCTGGTCAAGAACATGTACCTTGGTTACGATAAATCCCCAGTGAGGGGTGTGCAGGAAACAGCTGTTTGATGTTTCTCTCTTATTAATGTTTCTGACTCTCTCTCCTTCTCCCTTCCTCTCTGTAAAAAATAAAATATACTTTTTGAAAATAAATAGTCGATTCTGATTTTATAGAGAAAAGTGAGCAATTTGAGATGTTAATTATATTATAATTTGTAAAGATTACTTGTGTTTAACACTCATACATTTTTTTAAAACTTTTAAATTTTATTTTTCAATTACAGTTGACATGCAATATTATTTTATATTAGTTTTAGGTGTATAGCATTGTGGCTGACAATCATATAATTTACAAGATGATTCCCTCCCATTTCAACTACCCACCTGGCATACATAGTTATAACAATATTATTGACTATATTTTCTATGCTGTACTTTACATCACCATGGCTATTTAGTGACTACCAATATGTACTCCTTAATCCCTTCACTTTTTTCATCCATAACCCCAACCCCTCTCTCTGTCTCTCCCCTCTGGCAACCATCAGCTTGTTCTCTGTATCTATTAGTCTGTTTCTATTTTGTTGGTTTATTTTGTTCTTAAGATTCTACATGAAAGTGAAATCAGATGATACTTGTCTTTCTCTGTCTGACTTTTTTCACTTAGCATAATACCCTCTAGTTCCATCCATTTTGTTGCAAATAGCAAGATTTCCTTCTTTTTTATGGTTGAGTAAATTCCATATATGTACATATCACAACTTTTTTTTTAACACTTACTGGAGGATATTTTTTTCCATTGATTTTTAGAAAAAGTCGAAGTCGGGGAAGCAGGGAAAAAAGAGAGAAACATTGACATGTGAGAGGCACATCAATTGGTTGGCTCCCACATGAGTCCAGACAGGGTTTGGGAATCAAACCTGCAACCCTTTGCACAAATTTCAGGGCTACCACAACTTTTTTTTTAAATATATATTTTATTGATATTTTATTGATATTTTATATATATTATATATTTTGATATTTATGCCCTTGACCGGAATTGAACCAGGGACCTTTCAGTCCGCAGGCCAACGCTCTATCCACTGAGCCAAACTGGTTTTGGCTTCCACAACTTTTTTATCCACTCATCTTTTGCTAGGCATTTAGGTTGCTTCCATGTCTTAGCTATTGTAAATAACACTGCAGTGAACATGGGATTGCATAAATCTTTTTGAATTCCTATTTTGGGTTTCTTTGGATATATACCCAGAAGTGAAACCACTAGGTCATAAGGCAAGTCCATTTTAATTTTTTGAGGAACTTTTACCGTTTTGGTTTTTTTTTAATCCTCACTTGAGGATATTTTTCCATTGATTTTTAGAGAGAGTGGAAGGAAGGGAGGAGGAGTGGGGAGAGAGAAAGAAGCATCGATGTGAGAGACATGTCAATTGGTTGCCTCCTGCACGCACCAACGGGTCCAGGGATTGAGCCTGCAACCAAGGTACATGCCATGCCCTTGATGGGAGCCAAACCTGCGACCCTTTAGCCCAAGGGTTGACACTAACCACTGAGACAAACTGGCTACAGCAGTATGGACATTTTAACGATGTTAATTCTTCCTATTCATAAACATGGTATATGCCTCCATTTTTAAGGGAGCGCAAAAGTAGATTTACAGTTGTGTGTAGGCGAAACACATAATTTATTCTTGTATTATTATTTATTAGTTATTGTGTTTTCCATATTAACAATTATAACCTACTTTTGCCCCACCCTATATTTGTGTCTTCTTCAATTTCTTTCTTTTTGTCCTACAATTTTCCAAGTATAAGTCTTTTTTTAAAAATACATTTTTTATTGATTTTACACAGAGAGGAATTGAGAGGGACAGAAAGTTAGAAACATTGATGAGAGAGAAACACCGACCAGCTGCCTCCTGCACACCCCCCACTGGGTATGTGCCCGCAACCAAGGTACATGCCCTTGACCAGAATCGAACCCGGGACCTTTCAGTCCGCAGGCTGACGCTCTATCCACTGAGCCAAACTGGTCCCGGCTTTTTTTTTTTTTTTTTTTTTAATATATTTTATTGATTTTATACAGAGAGGAAGGGAGAGAGATAGAGAGTTAGAAACATCAATGAGAGAGAATCATCGATCAGCTGCCTCTTGCACACCCCCTACTGGGGTTATGCCTGCAGCCAAGGTACATGCCCTTGACTGGGATCGAACCCGGGACCCTTCAGTCCCCAAGCCGAGGCTCTATCCATTGAGCCAAACCAGTCCCAGCCCAAGTATAAGTCTTTTATCTCCTTGGTTAAATTTATTCCTAGGTATTTTAGTTTCCCTTTTTATTAGTTCATTACTGGTATATTAAAATGCAACTGATTTCTGAAAAATTTTATTTCCTACTACTAGACTGATTTATCAGTTCTAGTAGTTTTTTTGGTGCAATATTCAGAGTTCTTAAATTCATAGCTAAAGAACAATGTTTCTGCCCTAGCCAGTGTTGCTAAGTGGTTAGAGCATCAGCCCACGAATTGAAGAGTCATGGGTTTGATTCCAGTCAAGAGCACATACCTGGATTGCAGGTTCGATCCCAGCCCATGTTTTACACAAACCCTAGGTTATGTTATTATTTCCACTTCCTCCCCTTAGACTCTGTTGGGGTGAAATAACAAAAGAATGCAAATTTTTAATTACAGTTTTCTGATTAAAACTATATTATTAATACTAAATTTTATAGCGAGTTGTCTTCTTATTGATGCCAGTCAGTCTCATTCAACTATCTGGGAGAAGCCGGAAACCCCTTTGGAATTAAGATGAGAATTCTGGCTCTCACAGGCTTCATCTGTTTTCCTTCCCACGTGGTTGAAAAGCTGCTAGAAATATTTCTGCAGGCTGACTAAGGATCTGTTTCTCTCCACATTTTCAGTGTACCGAAGTGGGTGCTATGCAATTTAAATGTCTTATTTCCAGATCATTTTATTTCCGTCATTCGTTATGTCTTTGGCTCAACAAACTCTAGAATTTGTTTCAGACTTAATCTCAGACTGATACCACATGTCGAAGGCTTTGTAACAGAACTTTGTGTCCTTTCCTGAGCCACAATATACTCTGAAGCATTAGGGCTTAAAAGGCCAGAGGTAAAATTTTTTTTAAAAAATATATATTTTTACAGAGAGGAGGAGAGAGGGATAGAGAGTTAGAAACATCGATGAGAGGGAAACATCGATCAGCTGCCTCCTGCACACCTCCTACTAGGGATGTGCCCGAAACCAAGGTACATGCCCTTGACCGGAATCGAACCTGGAACCTCTCAGTCTGCAGGCTGACACTCTATCCACTGAGCCAAACCAGTCAGGGCCAGAGGTAATTTTTATTTCTCCTTTCCCTTTCACTGCTTCTAGACGCATCTCAAGGATTTTGTTGCATTCAGTTCTACTACTTGAACATAGAAGGTGGAATTAGAACACTGCCAGGACTGCTTTAATGAGCCTAATTCTTCTAAATTTTATCTAGGAGAATTATAACTTTTCTTTGTTATTTTCTTTTCATCTTAAAGTGATTCCAGGCTACGTTAATTGAAATAGACCCTCAGAAACACTTTATTCCTAACGTGTATTTAGTCCCTCACTTTCTGTAGTATAGTTAGTTTTTGGCCCAAGAGGTTGATTACTTCTCAGCTCAGTCAGCTTAAAAGGGTTAAATTATATACAGCACAAACTTTTCATTTGTAAAGTTGATTTTTTCAGCCGAAACCGGTTTGGCTCAGTGGTAGAGCATCGGTCTGCGGACTGAAAGGTCCCAGGTTCGATTCCGGTCAAGGGCATGTACGTTGGTTGCGGGCACATCCCCGGTAAGGGGGTGTGCAAGAGGCAGCTGGTCGATGTTTCTCTCTCATCGATGTTTCTAGCTCTCTATCTCTCTCCCTTCCTCTCTGTGAAAAATCAATAAAATATATTTTTTTAAAAAGTTGATTTTTTCACATGAATAATTTTTCTTTTCAAGAAATTTTCTATTTCAAGGACTAACAAATCCTACTTTACAAAGAGTTGAAGTGGGTTTCCTAAGGAAGTTTTTACTAAAGAACCAGACCATCTTTTAAACAGAATCATTGTTGTAACTACAGAGCGTTTATGCTGCTGCCTCTGTTTATAAACTGTGAGCTATATAAAATGTATAAAATGGAACAATGTGGAGAGTCGCCAGCAGTGGAAAGTGGCCCTCTCTTATACGTAAATTATTTGTCCTTTCTCTGCAGTTTCTGACCATAGTGTAGTATTTCATAAAGCTCCTAAATAGACTTCTCTTTGGGCTCTGAAGAAAATGACTGAATTTTGTCAATCACCCAGCATTGGTAATATTGTGGCCACTGAGAAAACTCTGAAGCAATAAAATAATTCAATTGAAAATAATTCTGTTTCATTCATACGTCACAGGCAGTCGATTCCATGTACACTGTGTGTCTCACCTGGAGGCTTTTCTTTGCCCTTTCTCCAGCACTTCGTTAGTGAGCGGAAATATGACGAGGATCTGGGACGAGTAGCTCGGTTCACCTGTGACGTGGAGACGCTAAAGAAGAGCATTGATTCGTTTGGACAAGGTGAGAGAGAGAGATTCTGGGCATTGGAGATGGTGATGAGAAGATCACGCTGTATTAATTAGAGACTGGAGTGCTGGTTGGCTTCTCTACTGATTCTTCTTTCGTGCCTCTTGTGTTTTGTTTTTATGAAAAGTAGCTCTGAGATCTTTAAGAAGTCATTGGATGCAGATGCTTGAAGCACAGGATGAGCTCCCTACATTTGCAATAAGATTTTTTTCATCCATTCTCTGTTGAGTCGAGAGTGTATGATATGAAGTATTATAAAGAGCATGGGGCTCTGGAGTCAGACCAAAGTTGCCCTACTCATTTTCTTCCTCTGGAACCTCATTATACCTACCTTGCTTGGCATACAATAGGTGAAAAAACAATAGCTTCAAAGGGGGTGGTGTCAAGAAGTCACTAGTGGGTAGGTGGATGGGTCACTCTGGTCTTAAACTGTTGGCTTGTTTCTAAAAGCAGTGGGGATTTGAAGGAAGAAGGCAGAAGAGAGATTTTTCCTTTTTGTTACCCTTTTTATAAGTGTTATTTACCTTAAAGTGCTCATTGTGAAATGGGGAAAACCTTACCCTTCATGCACTTTCATCGTATGACTGCATATTTCTTATATTTGTTTCAGTGTCCCATCCAAAGAACAGCTATTCAACCCGATCGCGGTGTAGCTCAGTTACCTCTGTATCCCTGAGTAGCCTATGTGATGCCCCTGCTGCTGCTGTTGCTGTTGCTGCTTCCACCTGTGTCTCTGCTCCCAGCCTTACAAGTGCTCACAAGAAAATCTCGGCACCAGGAGAGACTCCTGCAGGCAGAGCAGACTCAAGTGGCCAGTCCTATCAGCCTCATCGCCAGGTAAGCTGGCTTCCACACTGAGTTAGGCAGGAAGAAAGCCACCAGATTATCAGTTTATTTTTTCTTTTCTTTGTTGTTGTTTTAATATATAGGTTGTCATGGTTTAAGTGCTGACAGTTCAGTACATTACCTTTCTCTCTTTATTCCCTCCAGCCCGTTAGTTCCAGAGAAAGCTTTTTGTATGTATGTTCCAAACCACCAGCCAATTTAGATTTTCTTGTTGCCAAGACTGCTGACTTTCTGATGTTGGCAGTGATTCTAGCTGTCGTAGGTAGTATCGCCTGGTAATTAGTCACATTGGGAGTCGTGCATCCATCTCGAGGTAGATAAATACCACAGTGGCAGGTTCACCAGAATGAAGCAGCAACTCCCTAGAAGTACAACATAGAATATACTGGAGAGTGTGAACTTGGTTCCCTAAGGAGTGAACACAAGAAAGTTGAAGCATAATCCATAGTTTCTTTTTCTTGGTTTGAAAATATACACAAGAGCAATTGAAAGCAGTGCTGTCAGTAATTCTTCAGAATTGAAATTGGAAAACAAAAATAAAATCCCATGCCATAAACTTTCTGGGTTACAATGTAAAAATATACTGCATGTCATAGTAGTGTGATTAAATCTATGATTTATATAGCAGATCATAATGTTCATAGCAGAACATAACAAATGTTCATTATCTTTACAAATTATTTATCATCTGCAAAGCTCAGACACGTGATAAGATCCTTGCCCAACTGAGGGCTTGTAACAAACCAAGGAATGTTCTTCCTCCTCTAGCATGTGCCCAGCTAAAGAAAAGTAACCTCCTCTTCAGTGGAGAAAGGCCTAGTGGTGTAAGGCAGGGAAAATAGTGAAAGAATGATTATTTCTGATAGCAGGCAGAATTCTGTGAATCTTGAGAGAGAACTGAGTCGCAAGGATGGGCTACCACAGTGATGCTGTCAGAATACTCCACAAACTGAACTGGAGCAAATGGAGTAGCACAATGCCAGAGTGCTTTGAACATCATATTCTTTCATCCGTAGGTGTTGCCGAGGAACCGACGAGGAGGACAAGGCTACAGGCAACAAGGCCAAAAGTTCAGTGACCCCACGAACCAAGGACGACACGACAGTACAGGTCGTCACCGAAATAGCTCATGGTTTTCATCTGGTCCCAGGAACCAGAGTTCACAACCCCAGGCACCAGGAAATGCCAGTGGACGGGGCCAGGCGCGCTCTGCGGGGAGCAGTGGGACCGGAGCCGGCACGGAACCCAGCCCCCCTAAGCCCTCACTCAAAAAGGGCCCGCTGCCCCAGCGCAAACCCAGGACCTCTCATCCTGCGGCTGTGAACTCTTGAGGGAAATTCCATTGGCCTCTCTCCTTTATCCCACATAATTCAACTTGGTAACTGAACTTTAGGAAACTTATAGTTACATTTAATAACAAAAAGAAGTTTTTGCATATCAGTTGTTATATAGCATTCTAAATATTTCTTTCCTCATTTTCTCTTTATGATTTTTGGAGGGGAATCTGTTTTTTTCCCCTTGACCTTTCCCAGGGATTTGGATTCATTCTGATTGGTCATTTCTAACAGGAATCATGGGCAATGATGGCCAAGTTTCCCAAGAGTAAGCAGTGTTCTTCCCAGGGCACCAGGCCTTTCAGTTGCCCACAGAGGCCGTCCCCACAGCCCCCACGGTCAGGCTCTCAGGAGTGGCTGGATCGGAGCTAGTCCTGCTGCCTTTCCAGTCTAAGCCACATGCTTGTCAGGTTCCCTCTTAACAGCAGTTTAACCAGGAGAGGCACTGAGGGGCTTGTGTACTGCACTGAATTAGTCAGAGAAGGGGAAATTTAATCGGTGAGAAGGAAGAAAGACCAGGAAATATTTAAGAATCTGCCTCTCACAAAGTGCCTGAGATTGACACTCAGATCAGGGTTTTAGTCTCCTGCTTGGCATGATAGCTTAACCTGCAGTTTCTTCAAAATGTCCAAAGCTTTGTTTCCTTAATTCCCTTAGACTGCAAATGTGTCTAGGGAAGTCCATGGGAAAATAGCAATTATTTTAAGTTAAAAGAAGGGGGAAAAGTATTTCTTTGCTTTAATGTTTGAAGATTTTTGTTGTTGTTATTCTCATTCCGAAATCCTATTCTTATCCTGAATCAAATTTATAGCTATGTAATTAGTGTTAATCTAAGTGTTACTCATCAAAAAATTGCCGCAGTCTTTAGAGTTGAGTAAATAAAAACAACTGCATAAATGTTCCCACATTTGTTTCCCAGTGGCAAGTGACTTCATTTCATTATCTTTTTCTTGGGCCTCATGCAGTAGAAGCCTCTGAGACAGCTTGTTCGGGCTTAAATGAGGGTGTCTGATGCTTAAGTCATCTGTCCTCTGCTTAGCTTCAGAACCAAATTAAAATGTGAAGAGCCAGAATGAGCAAATGCAGCTGTTCCTGTGGGAAAGATTCATAGAATAGGGAATGGTGACTTTCCAAAGGGGAGCTTACCAGTTTAGAAAAACCACAGCTCCCAGCGGCTCCCCAGGCAACCAAAGGTTCTGTCAGCATCCCTCCTTCCTGCCTATCCCTTGACAGGAGTAGTGAATGTAACCGTATAATTGAGCTCCCACACGCAGCAGGTGGCATTGGTGCCAGACCCTTGCACCTTATCCCCACCCCAGCATCTATGATTTAATAACAGCAGAGCGATTTATTTCGCCAGTGTTTGTTCTCCCAGGTCTGAAGCCCAGACTGCAAGTGGCAGCGGAGCAGAACCTGTCTGCCTCGGGGCTTCTCCGGGCTCTTTGGCTGAAGCTGAGCTGCCTGGTTCAGGTTGGTTGAACAGATTTAGAGAGAACGAGAGATTGTGTGTGTCTTTCAGTAATGAAAACAGTAGTCAAGGAGTACTGGGAAGCCATTTTCTAAAAGGCTCATCACCTCATTTTGAGGAATTTGTCCAACAATATCATCAGCCTGCTAGGTGTAGGAAAAAAAAACCCTGCTTTTCTGATTAATTGCTTACCTTTATAGGAAATCCAGAGATTAAAACAACCTTGAAGGATTCTGAGGACTATCTCTGTATCCAAGCAGAACTGTATTTAACCATCCAGACAGATGGGAAGCCACTGTTTATGAAAACAGTCTTTATGTTAAAATTAAAATCTTATAGAAAAGTATTTGAATATATTTTTCTGTGACTATAAAATGTTTGAAAATTATGAAGATTTTTCTACATTTTGTTTTTACTTATAAAAGTAGTATTTAAAATATCAAATAATACAGAAATGTAAAAAAAGAAAGTTAAAGTTTCTATTCCTCAGGGTTAGTAATGACTATTAATAATTTGATGTAGCCCAGCTGTTGTGGCTCAGTGATCGACCATCAACCCATGAATCAGGAGGTCACAGTTCGATTCCCAGTCAGGGCACGTGCCTGGGTTGAGAGCTTAATCCCCAGTGTGGGGCATGCAAGAGGCAGCCTATCAATGATTCTCTGTCATCATTGATGTTTCTATCTCTCCCTCTTCCTTCCTCTTTGAAATCAATTAAAAATTTAAAAAAATAATAATAATAATTTGCTGTATACCCTTATAAATTCTTTAAGGCATATATGTATATGTACACATGAATATATAGGTTTTTTGTGTGTATGTGTTATACGGTTTTTTTTTAATCATGTCTAAACCATAGTTCATTTAGGATCTTCTGTTGTAGATATTCTATCCCTAAATTTGCCAATTTGATTTTCTTCCATAAAGATAAGTTAGGTTTATCTTAAGCTTGAATTGTGTAGCCCATTCCCTGCTCTCCATATAGCTCTGGCTTTCCTAAGGAAGAGAGGCTCTGAACCCTGGGCAGCTCTCACTGGTCAAAGAGACCTTACCTACTCATCATTGTTCCTTCCTTTTCCGTTGCCTCTTAGAGATCAATGTCTTGCTTTTTCCCAACTTAGAGATAGGACTTGAAACTTCAGGTTGCTTATCTCTGCAAGTGGCAGAGATATACGCCCCTGGAGAGAGAACGTTTAAGTTAGCATGGCTTCATTATGACCATCAGGTATTTCCTAGGCCCCTTATTTATCACAGTTCTTAAACCCTCTCTCCCTCCCTTCCACTCTCTTAGAAATAAAAATAAAAAAATCCCTGGAAAAAATATCCTCAGGTGAGGATTAAGAATAAATGGATGGTACAAAAGGATGCATGATGGAAGATAAAAAAAAAAAAAGTCTTCCCCTATCTTGTCCCATTGATAAGTTTCATATATATCTTGCTATAAATTTTCTGAATTCAAACATGCAAATATATTTTTCTTTCTTTTAGGAATCAAAATATTCATACTTCCATAGAAGTGCTTTTTTCAATTTTTTTTATAAGTTTTTGTTTTGTTTACGAAAAATCAGTCTATAATAATAAAACCATAATATGCTAATTAGACTGGACAACTTTCCAGAAAAGCTGGGGCTGAGAGGGAAGTCCAGGTCCCTGGTGCCAGAGGGAAGCCAATGCCAGCAGCGAGGGGGGGGGGGGGGGGAAGGCCGACTCTTGCACAAATTTCATGCATCGGGCCTCTAGTATATATTTACAAATGCTAAAAAATAAATGTAAAAAGTTCAAAAGAACATATGATGAAAGATATGCCTCCATCTCACTCTGTACTTTTTGCCCCCTCCCCTGAGGCAACTCCTCTTAAGTACCTTGTGTTCCCTCCAGAGACTTTCTGTACAGGTATATCGTAAGAATGTATCACTTTTTTATTATTAAATTTATTGGGGTGACATTGGTCAACATGAATACGTAGGTTTCAGGTGTGGGTTTCTATGTTACTAGATTTGTATATTGTACCATATGCTTACTACTCCAAGTCACATCCTCATGTCACCATATATTAGGACCACTTCCTCCTCCCACCCCTTCCCTCAGGCAACCACCACACTGCTGTTTGTGTTCACAAATTTCAGTTTTATATCCCACATATGAGTGAAATCACATGGTTCTTAGCTTTTTCTGTGACTTATTTCACTTAGCATAATGTTCTCAAGTCCATCCATGTTGTTGCAAATGGAGCTATTTCATTCTTTCTTATGGTTGAATAGTATTCCATTGTGTATGTACCACATCTTTATCCAGTCCTCTATCATGGACACTTTGGTTGTTTCCATGTCTTGGCCACCATGAGTAATGACGCAGTGAACATAGAGGTGCATATAGCTTGTGATTTAAAGTTTTTTGGTATGTACCCAGGAGAGAGGTTGCTGGGTCGAATGGTAGCTCTATTCTCAATTTTTTGAGGAATCGCCAGACTGTTTTCCATATAGTGGTTGTACCAAGCCACATTCCCACCAGCAGTAGACGAGGTTCCCTTTTTCCACAACCTCTCCTACACTTGTTATTGCTTGTCTTGTTGATAATGGCCACTCTTAACAGGCGTAAGGGGGTATCTGATTGTAGTTTTGATTGTATTTTCCTAATTACTAGTGAGGTTGAACATCTTTTTATATATCTATTGGTGTTTGTATCTTCTTGAGAGTGGAGTATTTTCAGATCCTCTGCCCACTTTTTGATTGGGTTGTTTGCTTGTATGGTGTTGATTTTTATGAGTTCTTAAAAAAAAACACAAATATATATATATATATATATATATATATATATATATATATATATATATACACACACACACACACACACACACACACACACACACACACACTTTTATTGATTTCAGAGAGAAAAGGAGAGGGAGAGATAGAAACATCAATGATGAGAAAGAATCATTGATCGGCTGCCTCTAGTGGGGATTGAGCCCACAACCCCAGGCATGTGCCCGGGACCAGAATCAAACCTAGAACCCTTTAGTCCACAGGCGGATGCTCTATCCACTGAGCCAAACCAGTTAGGGCTAAGAGTTCTTTATATATTTTTAAAATTAAATCTTTGTTGGAGCTATTGTTTGCAAATATCTCCCATCTGGTTGGCTGCCTCTTTGTTTTGTTGTCAGTTTCTTTTGCTGTGCAGAAGCTTTTAGTTTGATATAGTCCCATTCATTTATTTTTGCCTTTACTTCCCTTGCTTTTGGGGTCAAATTCATAAAATGTTCTCTATGACTAAGGGCCATAAGTTTGGTACCTATAATCTCTTCTGTGTAACTTGTTTCGGGTCTTATTTTTAGGTTTTTGATACATTTTGAATTAATTTTTGTATCTGGGGACAAACTGTAATCCACTTTCATTCATTTTTATATGGCTTTCCAGTTTTCCCAGCACCATTTATTGAAGAGACTTTTTACTCCATTGTGTGTTTCTGGCTCCTTTGTTAAAAATTATCTGTCCATATACTTGTGGTTTTATAACTGGGCTCTCTATTC